CTCCTGACCTTGTGATCCACCCACCTCTGCCTCCCAAAGTGCTGGGATTACAGGTGTGAGCCACTGAACCTGGCCAGCATGGCCATTTTAATGATACTGATTCTTCCTGTCCATGAAAAACCAGCTTTCTCCTAATTTCCTTAGGCAGTGTTTTGTAATTCTTATTGTAGAGATTGTTCACCTCCCTGGTTAGCTGTATGCCTAGGTATTTTATTCTTTTTGTGTCAATTGTGTAATGGGATTGCATTCCTGATTTGGCTCTTAGCTTGGCTGTTGTTGCTGTATAGGAATGCTAGTAATTTTCATACATTGATTTTGTATCCTGAAACTTTGCTGAAGTTGTCTTATCAGCTGAAGCAGCTTTTGGGCTGAGACTATGTGGTTTTCTAGATATAGAATCGTATCATCTCCAAACAAGGATAGTTTGACTTCCTCTCTTCCTATTTAGATGCTCTTTATTTCATTCTCTCTCCTGACTGCTCTGGCCAGGACTTCCCACAGTGTTGAGTAGGAGTGGTGAGAGAGGGCATCCTTGTCTTATGCTGGTTTTCAAAAATATGATGTTGACTGTGGGTTTGTCATAGATGGCTCTTATTTTGAGTTATGTACCTTCAATACCAAATTTTTTGAGAGTTTTTAACATGAAGAGGTGTTGAATTTTATCAAAAGCCTTTTCTACATCTATTAAGATACTGTCATTTTTGTCTTTAGTTCTGTTTATGTGATGAATCATTTATTGATTTGTGTATGTTGAACCACTGACAGCTTGCACCATGTACCTGGAAATGCCAGGCACTCAATGTCAGACTGTAAAATTAGCCACAGGGGCTGTGCCCTGAAAAGCCACAGGGATGGAGCTACCCAAGGCTTTGGGAGCCCACTCCTTCTATCAGTGTGCCCTGGATGTGAGACATGGAGTCAAAGGAGATTATTCTGGAGCTTTAATGAGTGCCCCGCCACATTTTGGACTTGCATGGGGCTTGTGGCCCCTTTGTTTTGACCAACTTCTCCCATTTGGAACAGGAATATTTACCCAATGCCTGTACCCCATCTGTATTTTGGAAGCAACTCATTTTTTTATTTTACAGGCTCTTAGGTGGAAGGGACTTGCTTTATCTCAGATGAGACTTTGGACTTGGACTTCTGAGTTAATGCTGGAATAAGACTTTGGGGGATTGTTGGGAAGGTGTGATTGGTTTTGAAGTATGAGAATATGGGATTTAGGAAGGGCCAGGGGCAGAATATGGTTTGGCTCTGTGTCCCCACCCAAGTTTCATCTCCAACTGTAATGTCAAGGGAGGGACGTCGTGGGAGGCAAATGATGCTGTTCTCATGAGAGTGGGTGAGTTCTCATGAGATCCAATGGTTTAATAGTGTTTGGAAGCTTCACGCCTCTTGCTCTTTCCCTGCTGCCTTGTTAAGAAGGTGCTGCTTCCCCCTTGCTTTCCATCATCATTCATGACTGTATGTTTCCCGAGGCCATGCCAGACATGTGGAACTGTGAGCCAATTAAATGTTTTGTTTGTAAATTATCCAGTCTCAGGTGGTATCTTTAAAACAGTTTGGATATGGACTGATACAGTAGTTGTTCCTCTAACTGTGGTGTAGACTGAGTACAGTCAACAGACTTGTTTTCTGGATGTTTTCACAGGGCCTAGGCTTTGTGTGGGGTCTCTGTTTGTAGCTGACATCTCATCTTTGGTTTCACAGGCGGATGTGTTAGGAAGTATTTTTGGTGTTGAAGCTTGGGGTGTGATGCAGTAGGTCGTGTTCAGTAGGTAGGCTCTTGCGTGGCTGGTGTGTCGTGTTCAGTGGGTAGGCTCTTGCATGGCTGGTGTGTCGTGTTCAGTGGGTAGGCTCTTGCGTGGCTGGTGTATTGGGTTCAGTGGGTAGGTTCTTACATGGCTGGTGTGTCGTGTTCAGTGGGTAGGCTCTTGTGTGGCTGGTGTGTCGTGTTCAGTGGGTAGGCTCTTGTGTGGCTGGTGTGTCGGGTTCAGTAGGTAGGCTCTTGTGTGGCTGGTGGCTCCTCTCTATTTCCTCACAGTTGTAGCCATGCTCCCCCGCAATGCTCTGAAAGTGTGGGCTCCTCCCTCACCTCAGTGCTGGTTGTAGATGATGGCCTGGTGCTCCTGGGCTGCCCACCACGGGTCTGGGGTGATCTCAGGGTTTACGCTTCTTTTCCAACTTGAAGGCAGCAGAGGAAGGTACCTTAGTAGTGGTTGTGGCTGAGGATCTTTTGCTTGTTTCCTGAGGGCTCCATCCCAGAGAGGTGCAGGTCAGTAATCGGAGTGCAATATACCCAGGGTGAGGGGTCTGTGCTGTGGCCCAAGCTGGGGATACCTGCCTGGTGATGAGCAGCAGGGGTTCATGTGATCCATGGGGGATGGACTGGCCTCCTCTCCTTGGCTCAACTGCAGCTTGTTGCAGATATGGATGAGGTACTTAGGGCTTTGCTCCTTGGTTCATCTGAGGATGGCTGGGGTAGTACCACTGCAGAGCCAGTGACAGAGGCTTTTGCTTGCCCTGGGGCTTCACCTTTGAGAGACATTTAGCTGCTGTTACTGGGAGCGTTCAGCTGGTGGGGTGCGGTCGCTGTACTGCTGGTGTGAGCTTGTGGCTTGCTGGGGAGCACGGAGTTAAGGGAGTCGGGAGATGAGAGTGGTGTTTTCTCTTTATGACTGCAGCGTGCTGTAAGCTCAGGTGTTTCTTCAAACCAAGGTCAGCAGCAAGAGAACTGCTGCTGTGGTAGTGGCAGAGGGGCTGTCACATGCTTCTGAGAGTGTCTTCAGGAAAACTCCAGGCCACTACCAGTAGGTACACTCAGCCGAGGGTGGAGCAACTGTTCTGTGGTCACAGGCTGGGACCCCTGCCTGGTGAAGAGCCAGGGGATGGGGGTTCCCAGGGAAGAGCAGCTGAACTCCTCTCTGTGTGGTCTCTTTTAGTTATTTCAAGTTTTTCTTCAGGTCAGGGGAATATTTTTCTATTTTTTTCTTACCATCGTACTCTCCTCTGTTGTCTCTCTGTGGTTCATTTTTAGTAGATGTCGGCCCTTTCAGGTCTGTCCTCCAGGTTTCTTTTTGCTCCTTGTATTTTACTCTCTCAGATATTCTTAATCTCTCTCTCCCAATTCCCCTCTCCTCTGCCAAATCTGCCCCCTTGTCTGTCTCTCCAGATTGCTCATTAATCTTTATTCTTCACTGCGCGCGCTTACACTGAAAACTTATGTGCAAGCACTGCTGTTCTGTCATTGGTCCTTTATTTTCATAGCTGCCCATCTTGTTATGGGTGTTTCTGGAATCAATATTCTCTTCTCATTTAGAGGGTGCTAATTAGAAGAATGAAAATTGTCTTCTATGCATTGTGTTCACCTCAGGCCTGTTCTTTGTTCATTTTGTTCTTTCCATTTATGCTGTTAGCTTTCTGTTAGTATTTATCAATTCATGCCTAATAATCATTGGATATTGGTACCTAACTGGTAAGGGTTTCCTCTGCAATTAAGTGGATCTCCTGTTTTCTCCCACAGAACGCTTCTCTAAATGGGAGGGCTGATTGTGCGCTCTGAGCTAGTCTGTCCTGTAAAGAGCATAACAGCTATTAAGCAGGGTTAGGGCTTCATGGCTAAAGAAAGTTAGGAGGTGTTTATTTTGAGTGATAAAGACTTTATCTCATGCCTAGGTAAAACTGCCTTTCTTTTTCATTTATTTCTACTGTTGTTGTGGAGGCCTAGAATTACTTCATGTTTTTACCTCTTTGTCTAGCTTCAATATAGATGCTCAGAACTCTGGCAAATCTTTTAGTTATCACTGGAGCAGAAAGCATTCCTGACATTTCTGTATACTTAAGAGGGCTGAGGGGAATGGCCCAGAGGTGTTGATTATAGCCTCAGAGATAACTCTTGTTCTTTTTATTTTTATTCCTGAGTTTGGATGTTTTTCAGACTTCTTTGGTGGAAAATAGCTCCTGCTCCTGCAGTGGTCTTCCATGTGTGTGTCTGTTCTTTTCCATTAATTTTACCCCATCTGTTTTCCATGAATTCATGAAAAATTACTGTGTCTTTCTTGTTCTCATAACTGCTCTGTTGCTGTTTTTTTGTTTTGTTTAATCTTTATTTTAGAAAGGAAGAGCCATACACTGTGCTTGGTCCACAGTCTTAAACTTGAAGTCCAGCAAGTTTTATGATCACATAAAGGATGAGTAAATATTTTCTGAGGAAATGAGTGATAATTAAATATTAAAAAAACTAACTTCTGATACTAAATATATTTTATCATCAGTTCTCTCTAGCAGTAGAAAAGCTGGTAGGTTGAAGATTTCTTTTTCACCATGGTTAGATAGCTTACTTTCCTGAGTTTGTAGGAGAGAACTTAGTCACTCTCCATATTGTCATGCATATATTAAGATTACTATTACTGTAAGTTCCAAAAAATAGCTCATAAAATATAAATTTACTGAAATAAAAGAAAGTAACCAATGGATTTAAGAATCTGGGAAGACAAATCTCAACCTCCCTGTTTGGGCTTTTTAAAGATGTCTGCACAGCAAACAGCCTCAGAAACTAGAGGTAGTATCTCCCTCTGCAGCAAATATTTGGGTTACCTAGCCTTGAGATTCCTCAGCTGCGATGCAAATCTACTGTGTGCAGCATTGATTTAAGCCCCTTCCTGCCCCCATGGGATGTAGGGAGCAAGGGGAATCAATGCAAAGAGGAATCTTATGCTACCTGCTGTGTCTTAAGAAATAAAGTCCTTCGTCTCTGAAATGGCAATTGTATCTTCTGCCAGTAAAAGACACGTGAAACTGGCAGGCTAACTTGTCAGGTTTCCAGTAGGGTAAATATCAGACCCGTCACACCAAATTATTAAATTAAAAAGTGAGAACGCATTTAACCTTTTCAGTTTAGTAGTAACACAAATCCAAATGTCTTCAATAAGAACACCTGATAGTCCCTTAAAAGTTCTAAAGTATGTTATTCATTTCTCAGTGTTTCTTTTTCTTATTAGCACTGAGTTTCATGAGCGGCTAAGTAAAATTGATAAGCTGAAGAACAGATATGAAATTCTGACTGTCGCTATGCTGCCTCCTGAAGGAGAAGAGGAGAAAACACAGGCGTACTATGTAATCAAGGTGATTTTAACTGATTCACAGTTGCAATTGTATCAATTTTTCTTTGTTAACTCATTCACTATAATCCTCTGAATTTAAAAAACAAAAACAAAATCGCAACTTCCCCTCCATGAAATCTAGCAACTATTTCACTTAATTAGGGCCACTAACTATTGCACTCAGTAAAGGCCAAAACATTTATTGCTAAATGGAGATACTGAAGGCACTATTCATTCCGTACACCTCCAGTCCCTGAGGTCAAGGCACTGCCCGCTGATTCCCAAAACTTGCTAACTTCCTCCAGAACTCTTCCTCTTTTTTTCAGGTCATTCTACTTGACCATTCTTTGACACTTTTGTCTTTCTGCTATTTGTGTCATGTCATTTCCCCTCATCAAGATTTCTGATCTTTTTCTCTAAGACCTATTACCTAAGTGTCTCTGGTATGCATGTGACAATCTGCTCAACAGCGGAGGCTCAAAGCTTTGGCTTCACTTGACTATAGGCTCCCATTCTATGCCACACTCTGGCTTCACCTCAGCATTTCGTAGAGCTACACCACCTCTGCATTTTAAACTCCAGTTTACCATTGCAGTCCTGGTAGGGCAGCTGTTCAGAGAGGAGGAGGGTTGTCTTCTGCCTTCCTATTACAGGGAGACAGACCAGGTGAATCTTTTTCTGATGTTTGACAGGCTGTCTGCCATCCCATGGTTATCTTTACCCATAAGGGGAAATTCATTGAGTGCTGTGGAACTGAATGCTATTCTCTGAGCACTGCTATATCCAACTTTCCCATGTAGAAAATACTCTGAACAGGAGTAATTTCCTTTACAGAAAGATCTAGGAAATTACTCAAAATGCTAAAAATAAGAAATGGAACTGGTAACTTACTAATTTCCCTGTACCACACCTTTAAAGAATGGCTCTCCCTTTGACTTCTACCAACTTAATCGCCCAAATTTTCTCCTGTAGCTTTTCTTCGTATCTGCCCCTAACAAATGCAGCAAGTATGGTATGCCTGCCACTTTGCTGCTTGAAATTCTGCCCTCCCCATGGGAAATCAGTCACAGCGCTCAAATCTTTCTTGTAACTTGTCAGTCTGTAATACCGCAGGCTTCTGTCAAAACAGGAATTTCCTCTTCTCAGGTTTTAAAAGTTCCTGAAGGATAAAGGGTAGGCTCTAATTTTTTAGGTGTTGGGAAACAGGTAGATGTTGCAATTCCAGTTAAGTTTTTCTAACAAGCGGTGTGATGGGTTACCTAAAAGTACTGGCATTAAGTGTGCTTTTGTCCATATCCTGGTTTTACCACTGCTTAGGTAGGTGACCAGGCATAAGTTACTTAATCATGCAGTGACTAAGTTTCTTCACTCAGAAAATGAAGAGGATAATATTGTTACTTTTGTTGGGAGAAGTAAGAAAATATATGTAAAGCTCCTGGGACAGTGTCTGGCACAAAATGATCATCAATAAATATTATTGTTATTACTATGATGATGCTGATTAATAGGAAAGCAGGCAAGTTTTGTATGAAAAAAGAATATTCTTTCTGTTTACAGTGAAAGTGCTGGGTAAAATGCAGTATAATGATTATGTTAAATGAATTGAGGCTATCAGTTACTTCCTCATCTTCCTGATGCCATATTTCTTATCTTCCATCTTCTCTGGGATCCACAGCTTGCCGCAGTTAGTCCCATTTTTGTTGTTGTTGTATAGCATGCTTAAACTTTTACTGGTAACACTTCACAAGTCTCAGATATGTGAAAATGAAACTTTATAACTAAACGCAGTACAGCTTGTATGAGGAAAAATTATCTATGGCCTGAAAAATAGAGAAAAGCAAACCATGGGTGCAATGATGCCACTGCATAGTGACACCCAAGTGTTGGCATTTTCTAGTGGGCCCTTCAGCTATCATCTGATTCTATAGGAGTGCACACCTTTGACCCTCTATTGACTTGTTTTACAACTCTGTAGGAATAGATGGTAACTTGGAAGATACCTGACAGTAACATAAGTGATTCTTGCTGCTAACAATGTAAGTGGATTTTTGGCCAGTAGAAATACAACTATGCTCTGTAGAAAAGATAACCCATGCATTAAAGTTTCTTACACTAAAATATATTAATATGTTTTGCATCTACCAGCAAATTCACTTCAGCATTTCTGATTCTATATGTCTACAATATAAAATATTTTTCATATTCTTCTTTGAAATAGTCTACCTTTCTGGCTCTTTAACAAGTTGAATAAAATCTTCATTGTTCGTATTTGAGAATTTTTAACTATTTGAAAATAGTACTTTGGCATTTTCACTGCTGGAAAAAATGTAAATTGCCAAATAGAAGTTAATTTTTGTTTTTTTTCAATATAAGTCTGTTTTTCAATGTAGCAGACTCTGTTTCTCATATAGTCAATGTAGGATTTAAATTCAGTCAAATCAAAATTGATTCCCGCCCCCCCCCCCCCCCCCCACTTTTTTTTTTTTTTTTTTTTTTTTGAGATAGAGTCTTGCTCTGTCACCCAGGCTGGAGTGCAGTGGCATGATCTCAGCTCACTACAACCTCTGCCTCCTAGCCATTTCCTGCCTCGGCTTCCTGAGTAGCTGAGAGTACAGTTGCACGCCACCACGCTGGCTAAGTTGAGACAGGGTTTCACCATGTTGGTTCAGGCTGGTCTCAATCTCCTGACCTTGGGATCCACCCACCTTGGCCTCCCAAAGTGCTGAGATTACAGACCTGAACCACCACACCCGGCCCATTATCTTTCCTACGTTATCTACAACGGGATCTGTCCTGATGGATATGTATATTATACTCTGGCTGTGGGTAACAGGAATTTGATTACAATGCTAACCACTGTTGTGTTTTCTGAATGTTGTGGATTAGGCATCAGCAAACTATGAAACTACGCACTCCAGCCAAATGCTGCCCACCACTTGTTCTGTAAATAAGTATTGGAAGACAAACTACATGTACTTATTTATTTACATACTGTTTAGAGCTGCTTGCATGCTACAATGACAGAATGAAGTAGTTTTGATAGACTGAATGACCCATAAAGTCTAATTACTATCTGACCTTTACATACAAAGCTTGTTGACCCTTTTATTAGTTTCTTAGGGCTGTGATACCTGCCATCAAACCAGCTGCCCAGGGACCTGAAAACCTGCCTACATGTCTGGCCCACCGTTCCCACTACCACCATCTGAGCAAGATACCCAGAGGCCCAAGAATCAGCCTTCGAGGACCCACTAATACCAGTAACAGCATGAGCCACTCTTGGGCCCAGGAGTAGAAACACTCAGCCCACCACTTCTACCAATTGGGCCCAAAGACAGGTGTACCTGGCATCCTAGATCCCAGCAAAACTTCTGCACCAAGGCTCAACTAATAACCATACAAGTCACTGAGGAAATCAGAGATACCAATGACCCTGAGCACGCCTAAGAAATCATACAAAGACCACACTACCACAGGCACCCCAAATCAAGACATCAACTACATATGTACATCTTCAGGAGAAAATCCTCCCACAAAAAAGCAATTTAGCAGAAGCAACTGTTAAATGAGATATGCATATATTAATAGAAGGACACAAAAACCATGAAAAAGGAAGGAACTGTGACCCACCATATGACAACTGTTCAGCAATAGATCCCACTCAAAAGGAAATCTTTAAATGCCAGATGAAAAATTCAAAATACAGAAGCTCAATTAGATGCAAAATAAATCTGAAAACCAATACAAATAAATCAGAAATCAATTCAGGGTATGAGCAAGAAATTTCCAAAGAAAATAGATATCTCAAAAAAAAAATTCTAGAACTGAAAAATTGAAAGAACTATAATACACACTTGAAACTTCAATAATTAATAGGCTATACAAGCAAAAGAAAGAGCCAGTAATAGACTAGACAAGCAACAGAGAGACTCGCACACCTTGAAGACAGGTCTTTAAAAATAATCCGGTCAAATTTAAAAAAAAAATAGCCTTAAATGTAAATGCGCTGAATGCTCTAATCAACACAAAGACTGGCAAATTGGATAAGCAGTCAAGACCCATCAGTGTGCTGGAGACCCATCTTATGTGCAAAGACACACACAGGTTCAAAATAAAGGGATGAAAGAAACGTTATCAAACAAATGAAGAGAAAAAAAAAAGCAGGGGTTGCAATCCTAATCTCTGATAAAACAGCCTTTAAACCAACAAAGATCAAAAGAGACAAAGGCATTACATAATGGTAAAGGGATCAATGCAGCAAGAGCTAACTATCCTAAACACATACGTACCCAATACAGGAGCACTAAGATACGTAAAGCAAGTTCTTAATGACCTACAAAGAGACACAGACTCCCACACAATAATAGTGGGAGACTTTAACACCCCACTGTCAATATCAGACTGATCAATGAGACAGAAAATTAACCAGATCTGGGTTCAAGTGCTGGATATCCTTGTTAATTTTCTGTCTCGTTGATCAGAGAGGACACAAACAGATGGAAAAACATTCCATGCTCCTGGTTAGGAAGAATCAATATCATGAAAATGGCCATACTGCCCAAAGTAGTTTATAGATTCAATGTTATCTGCATCAAGCTACCATTGGCCTTCTTCACAGAACTGGAAAAAACCACCTTAAACCTCATATGGAACAAAAAAAGAGCCCACACAGCCAAGACAATCCTAAGCAAAAAGAACAAAGCTGGAGGCATCACAGTACCTGACTTCAAACTATACTACAAAGCTATGGTAATCAAAACAGCACGGTACTGGAACCAAAACAGTTCCAATGAAAGAGATATAGACCAATGGAACAGAACAGAGGCCTCGGAAATAATGCCACATGTCTACGACCATCTGATTTTCGACAAACCTGACAAAAACAAGCAATGGGGAAAGGATTCCTTATTTAATAAATGGTGTTGGGAAAACTGGCTAGCCATGTGCAGAAAACTGAAACTGAATCCCTTCCTTACACCTTACACAAAAATTAACTCCAGATGAATTAAACATAAGACCTAA